GTACCATTAAATTATACGCACGAAAGTAAAAAATGGTTTCAGTGTTTGCGATGAGTTTATCCATAGGAGAGGGTTTCAGTAATTCCATTAGAATAATCCCAACCCAAAGGTACGAGACGTTGCACGGCGACCTTTACAAGTAGGCTCGGGAAAACGTGAGCCTATCGCAAAGAATGCTCCAAACTTTCGTAATTACATACATCATTTTCCTTATTACTTCATCCTTCAATTTTCATAACGGCACGTACTCTCCGCGTTTATGTGCCAATTTTATTCACAACGAGATGGCTCTTTGCTAATTAAAAAGAGTGTCATCGCAGACGAGAGGGAGCCCATCTTAATTACGTTAAGGGAAGTATTTTGTTACATTGGAGAGAATGAAGGAAAAGTGTTTAATTGAGGAAATTTGAAAATATAAAACGTTAGCGGGGGAGACCAAGGAGATAACCCGGCGAAATTGATTAGCCAATACAGTACACTTAATTGCAACTCCATTCTCTCTGTTTGCGTTAAGGGTTAGTTCGCCTCCCTAAAGCTTATGCCGGCTTCTGCGTTGGATTATATCTGCAAGATGGTTTAACAAGGGTCGCGATTTAATATTTTAATTTATATTAGGCATTGGTTTTAATGTACAATTTCACTTATTAGCTTTTAATTGTTTGCAGTTACGCTTTTATGGATCATTTTAATGTCACATTTGTTATTCACTGACCCAACTGAAATGAGACGTTTTTGTGAGCGTTGCCATTTAATAATTTAATTTTCGGGTAAAGTATTTGAAATGAATCTGTATAAATAATTAGTGATGTTTGGGGGATTGAATAAAAGCTTTTCTAACTCAATCGGCGAATCTGCGTGGGACTCGATGGAGTGTATAAAATGTATGCAAATTACTTTAGGAAAATATTTACGACGTTTGTTGGCAAATATTACTTAATTATAAATGCAAATTTTAGGCATGGAATAAAAAGGAGACGGCAGTTTACTGCAAAAGTACCTACCAGAACGTCTCTGGATGAGGTGTGTAAGAAGTTTTAAAATACGTCGCCAAGCTGGCACGCATAAGTAATTAAATTGAGTGCTCGTTTGCATGTTTTATCACTACATTAACATCAAATATTTAGCGAGGGAGGGCTGATCTTGATCAGCGGATAAGACTTTTGGACCCTTTTAGGAATTGAATTAGAAGTGCCTACTGAAATACAAATGACAAATAAATAAATTTGAAATCGATCTCGCCGCAGAGATTCCATTTTCCCCAACCTGAATTATTGAAACTGACAACGAACTAGATTCATTATGAAGAAATTAGCAAGGCAATACGGAAAACGCTCATTAATAAAACATACCCCAAAAACCGAAGTCTCGAAGTACGTTTCGTTCGGTATGCATACATTGACATTTAGCGTTAATTTCCATTTCATGCACAATTGGCCCTTACTACGGTTCCGGCAAGTTTCAATTATTCATACAAAAAGGCTCTTGACGAAAATTGCATGGTTAATATCCTACTTTAAAAAGACATAACGCAAACTTATTGCCTCCGAGGAAAATTTCGGGGACCTTGCTATCAAGTAAACAAATAAAAAGTGTCATTTACGATGTTTTGCTCCACAAAAGCGACAAGTTTCAACAATAAAACCATCCATCATTCTCTTAAATTTAATCTGGGAAAACTATGTCTCCCATACGATGCAATGTTTTAATAAAACACCAGAGAATATTTTAATAAAAACCAGAAAATTTTAGACTTACTTTTTCAGCGCGTGTATACAAAGTGTTTTATTATCTCTCGGTTTTTAGGGAAAATTTATTCCGCTTTATCGCCGACTTAATTTCTAAGGTAGTTTAAATACTCTTAATTGTAGCATATAATATCGTTAGGAGTTCTCCTGTTTTTCAGAATCTGTCTTCACTTAACGGAATGGGTCATTTGACCAACAAATTTAACCTGAGTTTGAATTAAGAAGAAACTGTTGAAACGATGGCCCCCATGATTTTCAGTACCTCTAACCTCTAAATTTGCACATCCTACTAAACCGGTTTGCGGATAATAATTAACTAATAATAGAATAATTTAAAAAATTTCAGAATTATCAAATAAATAATTAAACATATATTATCTTAGTAAATAAAGCATTTCTCCCATTCCAATGCTTCGCGGCAATGTTCCCAAAACATAATTAATTTATATAAGTACAGGATGTCCCAGTTATCTTAAGACAGTTGATTATTGCAGAAACGAGGTGGGATATCAGAAAATGATTCATAATCTTCTTCGTATGGGGGGGCCCATAATGATGGTATGCACATTTTTACATAACTGTCCTAAAGGGTCAAGTGTAGGGCGGCTTTCAAATTTAAATTTAAGTTGCGAACACCTTCCACTCGTCATTTCATTTGAAGATCTCGATTGATTTTTTGTACAGTTTTCATATCCCATAATTTCAAATTAAAGGTTTCCAATATATGTCAATGTTCATTTCCCATAAGTTCGCAAAATTAATAAGATCGTCAGTGTTACCAACAGAGCATGCCCATGAAACGATTCCATTATTGCGGCAACTTTACAACTTTTAATTACAGTAATGAAGTAAGTTTAAGTGCGACAGCGTGGCACATTCAAACGCAAATAAGCAATAAATAAAAGAAAACCTCCCCGAGCCGCGGTTACCTCAAATATTTGATTACCCTCAACGCTCTTTTCACAATATTGTAAGATGTCGTATACTGCCGACTATATGCAAATGTTCATCATTGATTTAGGCCACCAAACCATTAAGCGACATGGGGCGACTTAAAGCTTCTCAGAGAAGTGCCAATGTTTCGTAAACTTTTGCTAACTTGATGGCGCTTATTGTTAAGTCTCGAGCGTTCGGAAATAAGTAGAAAAAGACTCTGCTTGAATTTATAACACGACTTCGCCTGGGATGAACGCTTCATTTAGTTTTTTGTTTAGAATTGTTGCTCTTAGTTGTGTTTCCACTGTCAAAAGTAGCCAGAAGAGAGCGTTAATGGAGAATGAATTAAATAAACTCACATGTAAACCGACGGGTATTACACAAAAGTAGAGCATAATTAAAAAAATGAAGGTGGAAAATTCGTGAAATAATAATAAGTCAGTGACTTTTGTGGTTTGGGAATTTAATATACCTGCAGCAACAGTAAACATCAATTACGTAAATCTTTTTCCTTATTATGGTTTTAATATATGGACGGTTCGATCGAAATTCTCATCTAAATTCTCTTACAAACTGAACAAGCACAAGATTCTTAATTGAAATTCAATAAGCAATATCTATCCCCTCTCGAATCAATACGACTATAATTTCTGAGATATTCCGTTTGAACATCGTACGTGATTTAATTCAGTTTCGAGTTTGGAAAAATGTGGGAATATGAAATATCGCCTTCCAGTCCGTGACGTATATATTATATTATGGTTATTGATGGGAAATCTACCAAAATGTAATTTTATATATTAAAACCGATTTGCTGAGGAGAAGTGTAGTAATTTGTTTATTGTGGCGGTTTCGGTTACTAATTCTAATATAAACGAAATATAGCTCATTGGACACGGGAAAAGATTAATTTCTGAGTACTTTGGCCGAGTTATTTGTATTAAAACCTGATACGTTTTACATGGGTCGTGACTTTTAATGTCACAATTATAAGCTCATTAGCGCTCATAAGCGCATTTTCCATGCATTGATCGGTGCTTGTGTGTACCCAAAAAGCCATAACTATTTTCGCGGTGTTTTTCTTTACTAGAGCCATCTATGGTTAAAATTTTAAAGAAATGTTTGGCATACAATATGCGATATGTTTGCTTTACAAACATCTGTGGTTAATATTTCGAAAAAATAACTCAATAAATAAAAAAGTTGCCGTTGGGGAGTCTGCGCATGCGCACACTAATCGTTCAGATCTTTCTACCCTCAGGCTTCAGAGCTATAAGCTACCAAATTGAAAAAGAACGACCTGAATATATTTAAAAGTGTATGAGTCATTAAGGCCTCGGACGAACAGACTGACTGAGAAAGTGGTTGAAATAGTGCACACAACTTCGTTTGAAATTCCGCTAAAAATACTATACGAGAGAGAAACGTGACGCGGGACAGAAAGTGAGTTTCTCTTCTGGAAAACATCTAAAGAAAGAAAATTGAATGTGTAACGGGCGCATTAATTTAATGGATTTTCTCGCAGAATCAAATAAACAATTTTCAAAGCTGTAAAAATGGCAAGGTTCCGAAGGATTTTGGTTTTGTTTGCGTCCAAGAACTTATCTCGTAATTTCTGCATTTCACGTACCCAAATTCAAGGGTTCATTTATTGCTGAGCTTGTTTTATAAGAATGTAAATAGAAAAATTGGTTTAGGGGGTACCTATGTATGTAATGTATCGTGTAAAATTTGTGGATTTACGTTATTTATTATTTAATAAGAAGTGGTCATTTCAATTGTGATTACGTGAAAAGTGATTGTAAAAATTCATTGTACCTCACTTCTAATGAATCACCCGGTACTAGGACGTGTATGTGGAACTATTTGGAAACTAAATTACATTACATTTATATGGCCATTTAGTGGCGTTTTTTTTATGGCGAGGTGGAAAAGCCTTGGAAACTGATATAGTACGTTTCATAGAAGCAGAGGGAAAACTACACAGTAACCAAAACCACTAAAAATGTGACCATGCAAACTATAATTAATTTTATTTTGGTACAGTTTTAGTTGGGAGTCCCAAAACTTTGTTAAACGAAGGGATCCGTCAACCCTTTATTGCAACAAATGGGATAGGTAAGCGTTGTTGGAAAAATTGCCAAAATAAGAAGCTGTAACGCGATTTTCCAAGGAAAGTAATATCCTGATTAGTTTGTGCAATTCTCACTCATGTTAAGGACAATACTAGGCATATCTACGAAGATTAATTTATTGGTGATATGAAATGGAGAACAAATTTAACAACGATGACTTAGATCATGGCACATTAACAATTAATTAGTAATGATATCCGCTATGGTGTCCCACAATGGCAACTTTGGCGTGGGTATCAGGATGGGCAGCGTGCCCGGATCGCTCGACGACCGCGTTGAAACCATTTTTGTCATCGGCCGTGTACTTAACGGTACGAATGGTACCGTCGGCTTCGTGCAGGGAGTATTCACCGTGGATGACGTCTCCATCGCGAGATTCGTGCTGGCTGTGGTGGTCGTGTGTGTGGGCGTCAGCTACGCCGTAGCTAAATTCGTATTTTGGATGCGCCTAAAGATTGCTGTCGGTAAATTTGTAGATTTAAGGGGTGACTTACGTGGTAGTCCACATGGTGCGCGGCGTGGAGGGGAGCGGCATGGTGAACGAGGGGAGCTGCATGGTGGTAGGCTACCGGTGCGGCGTGGTGATAAACTGGGGCTGAGTGATGACCATGTCCCAAGTTGAGGGAGGCATAGGACGACGCTCCATGGTGGTGTTGGGCGTACGAGGCCACAAAGGCACACGCAATCAAAGCGAGTTTCTGCAAAACCAAGACATAGTTCTACACAAATTGATTTTTAACAAACTTACGAAGAACATATTTGTTTATTGGTAGGTATTTGTGAGACACCGAACTACACTGATTAGTGCTACACATTTGCACCTATTTATACCAGGCAGTTACATTTACTTTCGTTCTTATTGCATATAACAACTAATAAGTAATCCGAATTATATTTAGAGAAAATTCCAATCGTGAACTTGAAATTTTAATGAATTCGTATCTGTAACAAAATTGCGTAAACCGAACGACAGTTGAGCGAAACTTTCTCATTTTTAGCATGCGAGCGTTTAAGAGTTTATAACCCAATGTCATTCGAATTAGAATATTTCTTCAATTGGCAGTTTCAGAAGCTTGCTAGAATTGTGCAAGCAGGAAATAACCTATTATTGTTTCGTCACTGCACGTTTCTTTTAGTTTGTGCGAAAAAAATAACAAATATAGTTGGTAGTGCCATAGAAACACTGCCAACATTTCTTCTTGCTGTAACTGGAGTGTTACTTCACGGAGAAAAATGTATGTTAAAGGTAATTAAAAATATAATAATAGCTATCAAAAAATATAATACGTATAGGGATAGCTATTATGAAGAATTATAAAATTTATCATATACATATTGTTGCAAGTGTATAGCTAGTTTCACTATATATTGTTTTAACTCATACAAAAAAAAACTGTATGTAACGGCAACCATCTCATATGCATGCTTTTGTACTACGGAAGTAGTTGAATTAACATCTCCGCTTTGTATTAATAAGTATTAATAACTTAGATTATTGCAACTAATATACACATTACACACCCTGCCAAAAATCGACTGCACCAAAATTTCTCGGGAAAACACTTTTTCTTATTAATTTTGGGGCGTAGAATCCAAAACAATCCGTACCTTTTCGATCAGACTTCTCAATCAAAGGTTATAGACTAGAAACCAATTTCGAAAGAAAATTCAAAGGGCTCTAACTTTTGAACTAGTAGCCCAATCTTGGAACTGTTTGAAATTATGGATTCTACAGGCCACATTCTATAAGAAAAATTTTTTTCCGGGGCGATCTGAGACAATTTTTTTTTCGGGGCTCAAAAAAGGCAGTGTATAACCTTCCTTTTTTACCAAAAATCGACTGCACCAAAATTTCTCGGGAAAACACATTTTCTTGTTAATTTTGGTGCGTAGAATCCAAAACAATTCTTACTTTTTCGATCGATCTCTTACGACGTTTGCATTGTTACAATATACCGCCCTCCCAACAATAATGTTGACAGCATAAATTCATTTTTACACACCTTTTATTATTTAATGTCAACCGTACGAAATCGTTACAAACATATTTATGTCTGTGGCGATCTGAATATAAACCAGTTAAAAAATGACAAATCATTTGTAGCTCTAAGAGACGTGCTAAACTTACATGGTCTAACGGCTATTATCAGAGAAGTAACTGGTCTGTCTGGCCACTTTGCGCAATATGTAAAAATAAATATCGAACACATTAAACTAGTAAAAACAAAAAATGAATATAAATTATCCAGGTCACTTCACGACAGTTCAAAATTAAACGAGTTCTTGTATCTACTTAAAGGTTCTAGTTTAGGCAAACACAGTAGGAAGAATAATCTCGAGAATAATCCTAATCGAAAATTTAATACATTTTATGACAGCTTTACTTGGTGTATGGATAGGTCATTCCCAAAAATTCATAAGCGAATTATACCTACAATTGGCTTTAGGAAACAAAAAATCGTATTTTCTTCGGATCTCCAAACCAAATATAATATCTACAAGAGCCTCGCATTAATCAGTAAAGTGTCAAAAAACGATAACATCAGTAGGATCTGAAAAGATATGTACAGATCATTGTCTAAAGAAATAATTGCCGAAAAGAAAAAACATTTCTCGCAACAAATTGCTACTCACAACAAAAACCCTAAGTACTCCTGGAGTTTAATAAAAACCAAACCATCGACTACCACGACAACTCAAACCATCAACATAGAGGCAAATGATTTTGCCACATATTTTGGTGCAATGATACCATCTCCTTACCAAGACACTTTGACCGATAAGAAATTCGTCTGCAACTCATCGTGCACCTCTAACTCCTTTTTTTACAATCCCTGCACACCGAATGAAATTTATAATATCATTCAGTCTCTAAAAAATAACAGTTCTCCTGGATTCGACGAAATACCCAACAGCTTATTAAAGGCATGTTCTCCTTACATCATTTCAGACCTATCTGACATAATTAAGGCTTGTGTGATTAATGGCGTGTTTCCAGATGCTCTGAAATCCGCATGTGTCATCCCAATCCACAAAAAGGGAAATCGAAGTGATGTGGGTAACTACAGGGCTATTTCTCTCTTAAGTTCCTTTTCAAAAATCATTGAAAAATGCATCTATAAGAGATCAAATCTTTATTTGGAAAAATACAACATTCTATCCGAAAAACAATTTGGTTTTCGCCCCTCATTGTCAACCGAGTTCATCTAATACAACACATAATGAATGAAATGGACCTAAATAAAGCCTGCTTCGTTGTTTATTTTGATACTAGTAAAGCTTTTGATAGCATCAACATTGACTTAATGTCTCGAAAGCTTGGCGCTGTAGGGATCAGGAACGAAATACATGACTTCCTTATATCGTTTTTAACAAGTAGGAAATACTATGTTAAATACAATAATACAACTTCAAAGGAGTATACTTTGCAAAATGGAACTCCCCAAGGGAGCACCCTTGGTCCAGTTCTCTTTCTACTTTACATTAACGATCTACCACCAGCCATTATTAATGGGTTTACATTCATGTACGCTGACGACACAGCAGTAGTTGTAAGCGCTGAGAACTCCGACTTAGCTTTGCAAAAATTAAAAAGGGTTGTTCACGAATTTTTAACTTGGTGCAGCACTAATAAACTGAAGATAAACTCCGACAAAACAATAGTCATGAATATGACCACATCTACACAGGATCACCCCTATGAGATTTTCATTGAGGATTCACTGATCTCTTGTAAACCACATAGCACGTATCTTGGTACGTACTATAATTGATTCCAGTTTGTCGTGGCTTCCTCAAACTGAATACGTTATAAGTAAGCTTAACTCATCGTATTATCTGTTATCACGACTGAAACAACAATTCGATGAAAATTTGTTACTTAAAGTTTACTACGCGGTTGTGTATCCATATTTAAGCTATATCATTACATGTTGGGGAGCAAGTGCACATACTCACAGAGTATTTATATTACAAAAACGTATAATACGCTTGATGTACAAACTTAATTACGCTCAACCATGTCGGGACACTTTCAAAAATCATAAAATAATGCCACTGCCTTGTATATATATCTTTAAATTACTTATTTATCTTCATAAAAACCGACACAAATTTAACAAAATAAGTCAAATTCACGATCACAACACCAGAGGTAAAAATAAAATCTTGATTCCAAAACACCAACATTCATTTTATAAAAAATCTCCGTTTTACACCGGTTCAGTATTATTTAATAATCTGCCTGAAACTCTAAAAAAAATGAACCACTCCCTTTTCAAAAATAGAACGAAACAGATATTACAAAATAATTCTTTCTATTAAGTAAATGAATCTGTTGATTATATATCTCTAGGTAATAAAAACATAATGACTGGATGCACCTGAATTGTTAGTTCACAAATTTACTGTTGTCCATACATGTTTTGTTTGTGATTTGACGTTTCTGTAATTGTTATTTACAATTTTTAGAATTAAAGATTATTATTATTATTATTATTATCAGACTTCTCAATCAAAAGTTATAGACTAGAAACCAATTTCGAAAGAAAATTCAAAGGGCTGTAACTTTTGAATTAGTAGCCCAATCTTGGAACTGTTTGAAATTATGGATTCTACAGGCCACATTCTATAAGAAAATTTTTTTTCCGGGTCGATCTGAGACAATTTTTTTCCGGGCTCAAAAAAAGGCAGTGTAAAACCTTCCTTTTTTAAGAAAAATCAGGATACACACATATTGGTTTCGAATATATAAAATTATAAGTTCAAAAACCATGATATATTTGCAACAATAAGGTATAATAATCAATATAATACAGTTTTATTGTACTTATACTGCCATATTGTATTGGCCCAACCCTCAAAATCTATGGAACATCACTCATGATTATAAGTGGTATAGAATTCATCTATAAACTTCACCAAAATTGCGAGCCACATACACATACGCACTGAACTGACTGTCGACTGAACAAAAACCGCATACAACATACAATACAGAGCTTTTAATAATTTTATTTGTTACTCAGTTGTAAACGTTGATTAACAAGACAAAACGCAAACGGGTAAACGTCATGTTTAAACGCTACTGACTTGTAAAACTGACAGCAGACTTGTAAAACTGACAGCAGACTTGTAAAACTGACAGCAGACCTGTAAAAATTTTACAAGTTAGTAATCTAGTAATTTCATTGGCCAGAATTAATGCGAAGTCTCTGTTACATGGATCACATGATATTTTAGACATTTCTTCAAGATCAATTTAAGAACTAATTATTTACGTTTACAAATTAGTAACAAATAAAATATTGTACATTATACGCCAGGTAATAGTTTTTACTGGCTCTAGGAGATGACAGGCTCGCCTGACGGCGCGCCAGTCAACTTCTCCTATCGCCAGTAAAAACTCACTTACCTGGCTAATAATGTAAAATACTATAATGCAACCTTTGCAACGGTTGTTCTCAAAATAAGCTTATGCTTATCTTGCAGATTCAGCATCATTACAATTACATCATATGTTAAAAATTATTATATGGGTTGTTAAACTAACAATCTTTCAACCGAGAGTGGTCTCATACTTCATCTTATAAATATAATAACTCAGGGCAACTTTTTTTATTAAACGAAACAAAGTAGCTTATCTAACATTTTGAAAAGTAAAAGAACTTTTTTTGGGCCCTATATATTACAAGAAATTCTACACGCTTTTGATCTATATTTTAAATTATCTTAAAAAGACCTTTGAGGGTGGACGTCAGTTTACCGTTTTCAATTTAAAAATGTATAAAATCACTAATTTCACGTTTATAAC